GATTTGCGATAGAATTTTTAAAAATTTAAATTAGAGCTTTCTCACTTGAACAATCAAAGTAATCATTTCAAAACATCGGTCTGTTTAGCATCACAGAGCTACAATCATTTACACACAAAAATAAACTTCCAAAGGAAAGTCTTTCGAAATTTTTAAAATAAATTAACCGAATTTCGGAGTTTCTTTTCTAATTATTTCTAGCTCTAATGGACTTTAAAATCAAACAATTTAACCATTCACTGTTAGGAATACCATGATTTTTAATGATGCTAAATACAGAATTTTAAACGAAATAGAAATTTAAATTCATGTCATCATAGATCAAGAGATCTTGAAAACAGATAACGTCATGATTCTTTTGCTGATGACGCCATCGTTATTCTGCTTAGAAGTAATGAATTTACCAAATTAAGATGTCTGTAATGAACATTTTAATATGGATGACGTACAGTATAATGCAGTTGGTGCTGAAAATACGTGGTTGCAGTCACAGCAAGTTGAATACTTTTTTATACATGACAACGCATTTTTTAAGACAGATAAATCGGCTCAAGGCATGTAGTCTTTCATAATTGCATTTTTACTTTTCCATGTTTTTCCAAGATACTGGTATTCCAAACCAAGAAACTTTTCACATTTGCCGATTATCTCCACAACTGATCCTGTATTTAATGAACATTAAATTTTAAGTGAAAAGACTTTAATGGAATCTGGCATGGCTGTAGGTTGATACAATGCGAAAAATATACTACCTGTGTACACTGCTTCCCCCCCCCAAAAAAACATGAGACAGTTCTATATCTCCCGTTCTATTGGGCCGATTGAAGAAATTCAAATTTCGTTTTTCATGTCTCGAGAGCGCGACTTAGGATATGTATTCGATTTATGTACAGCGTCGTTCTAATATAGATATTTTGCTATGAAATCGGACTTTTTCTGAAATGACATGGAAATTGTTTCCAGATTTCGATTCTACTACTCAAACTATGCCAAACTGCCAAGTTTTGTAAAAACTGCACGAGTGGTTTTTAAAAAATTAGTTCTCAAAAGTTTAGCAACTCAGTGTCAATTGATTTTGATAGATATTTATTAATATCTCTTTATTATAACACTTAATTGATTCGTTTCTTCCAGAATTCAAAATTTAGGCTTAATCCAAATATAATTCGTACATTTTTATGAATTATTTTTTAAATTTGTATTTTAAAATATTTTTTATAAATTTTTCGAAACAAATTCTATATTTATAACCTATAAAATTTTCAACAAAATCTTAAAGCAGATGTATTTCTAGGCACATATTCAAAAAATTACAGTGTTTTATTCAAACTTTTCTACGTGAATTTACATATTGGAGCGTTTCGAAATATGGCATCTTTTTTTTTTGAGCGATAATAACGCGAAACGATAATACTCACTTTGTTAAAATTATTTGGAAGTACGACAGATGACTTTTTTTCCCGCTCGTCTACAATGACAAAAAGAAAATAGGTTGCTATAAATTAAGAAGTTCGTCAAGTAAATTATTCTTGGCCCAAACTGAAAATACGCCAAGATAAATTTTTTAATTTCTCCGTAAATTTCGCACCAAATTTTACGTTTTATATTTAGGCATAATTTGAGTAGTAGAATCGAAATATAGAAAAAAAAATTGGCATGTCATTTCAGAAAAAGTCTTTTTTGTGTCAAAATACTTATGTTAGAATAATGCTATATATAAATATATATAATGCTATATATATATATCGAGACATGAAAAATGCAAATTGAATGGGAGATATAAAACTGCCTTTTTTTTTTTTTTTTTTTTTTTTTTGCTTTGTACGTGTAAAATATATCATAGTATATTCGCATGATCACGCGTAAGACTTATCGACGCAGTAATGTCTAAGCTAGAGATTGCAAGTTCGAAAGGAAGAGGAAGCTATTTTAGAGAGTATGATACCCTCTGCCAGTCATACAAGTTCTTACAACGTGGCTTCGTACTAAAAATAAGGTACAGTTAAACTTCAGTTTACGAATTTAATTCGTTTCTAAAGGTCGTTCTTCAACCAAAATGTTCGTAATCTGAAAACATTTCTCCATAGGAATCAACGTAAAATGTATTTCAGACCACAGATGAATGTTTATAAAAACTTTACAACAGTACCTTGTAAACATAATTAATGGAAATAATTCCATATAAAGCAGAAATGGATAAAAAGGAATTAAACAAATAAAATTGACAAAATTTAATTTTACTTTATTTGTGTGAAAGAGAGACAGCATAACTAAAAATGATGAGTAAGTTTTTTGAGTTTTCATGAAGGGTTCTCTTTAATAAAGCATTAGGTAACTTCTCTTTAACCTTTGCTTTGTCTATAAGCACTATTCGATTCTTTTTTAAACACATTAGGTCTTCTTTCCATTAAAAGTTTGTCCAATAAGATTTGTTGCTACCTACATTTTAAAATGTTTCTAAAGTAACACCTGGCATTATCATTGAAATCCTCATGCTGTAGCTTCCTGTTGCTTTATCAAGGTAATATCATTATGTAAAAATGTTGCATCATACACCATTTTACACGAATTTCGCAGATTAGAGAAAGTAGCATAATTTTTCGTTCATGCTTCTTCTTGTGAAGATATTTCTTTCATAATCGCCATTTTTGCTGCTTCTGAAATTGTTCTAGTTCTTTGTTGCTCAGTTCATTTTTAAGGTTATCCTAATAACTGAACTACGTTTTCATTCTTAATTCTAGTCGATGGTTTTTATCTGATATAAAGAAAGAAGGAATAAGTGTCAAAGCACTCAAAGTTTTTGCATACAATCCATCTGGCTATAATTTCCTCTAGACTTAATTCATGATGTTGTAAGTCACGTATTTCCAGACTTTGTTTATGAAAGTTAAATGATAAAAAATATTTAAGTGATGTTTCCAGAAGTCTTCAAGTGTTAATCATGTGACAGAGGTTACCTTAAAACACCTTCGAAAATCATATTTTTCCGAATTGTGTGTTCATAAATCTAGACTTTGTTCGTCACCAAATGCGTTTTTGGTTCAGTTATTTTATTCGTGAACAGAATCGTCCTCTAAGTGAATCGTTTGTGATCCGAGGTTCCAGTATAGTTATGAGTCCTGTGGAATCGGCTCTGCGGCTTCCATGCAATGGAGGATTCTGGAGAATTCTGGGAGAGGGAAGGCGAGTTATAATTATCTTCCCAAGAGTGACCTGGACATATTCTACAAGACAGGTCAGGAAACCTGGCTGGTCAATACATCCAGTTAATATCCTCACTCTTGAGAAAATCATTCAACAGTGTAGCTGTATGTGGACGGCGTATATAACGTATTGTTATCCATAAAAAAAGAAGTGAGTTCCTCTCCCCAATAAAAAGATAAATATAGGCAGAGCCATGCCTACATATTTTTTCATCTGAGAAAAAGCAGTATATGTGCGCCCCTGTATGCAATGCAAGATTATTTATTTACCTATTTGTGGGAGGTGGAAGAATAAATAAATAATACAAAATAATGTTTGAAAAGCTAAAATTATACAAACACGCGCAATATATATATATATGCATTATTGCATTTACATATATATATAATCATACATATAGAACAAATTAACTATATTTATGTATATTTTATGCACATTAAAAGTAACTATTTCAAGTGAAAAAAACAATAAGTATTACAGTAATATTTAATAATAACTTTGTGTGTTCCACAAAGTGAAACATATATAATGATTAGCAATTTTGAAATGGAAAACATTAAAAATATGCTTTTTGAAAAATGGCAAATAATATTTAGTATAAATAAAACATCTGCTCAAAATTTTACGGCATAAACTATTTAAGCATATTTGTAATTTAATTTTTCTGGCTTTTAAAGAAGCCAAATTATCAATAATTTTTCAAAATCTATTCGATTACTTAACTCATGTTCTATAGAGAGAATGGCCATGTTTGAAAGTTTTTCTTGGCCTAGTGAAGATGTCATATAGTTCTTTATTATTTTAAGTTTTCTAATGCTTCTTTCGCCACAAGCTATAGTAACTGGCAATGTTAAAAACTTTAAAGGCTGCTTCCAAATTCAGATAGGACTAAACTAAATTATAATCGTGAATTGTTTTTAAAATTTAGAAGAATGTAGCTGCTTTTTTGTACGGAATTATTGAAATAGCATGGTTTTTAAAACTAGATATTTTTGACTGAATTTCTTCATCGCACATATCATTCAGATCTCGATTCTCCCAACTCTAAGGCATGTTCATCATTTGGCACTTTGGTAGCAGCTTCATATGTGGTAATTATTTTCGAGCAAATATTATATTTTTTTATCCTCAATTACGCTTTTGCTTTTACAAGTAAAATTAATTTTTTCCATTTTTGTTATATAGTAAATTCCTGGACCCTACCCATAAAAAAAGAAGCATATTCTGCTAGCTTTAAACTAAAAGTTATCCTTTTTGCTGAGAAATGCTTGGGCGAAAATGAAAATGATATGATACTCCAGATAGGCGATAGCCGTGTTAATGGTCAGGTGGAGAACGATGATATTCCCACAATACTGATGACAAAATGACGTTATTCTAATTTATGTTGAGAAGTCTGAGTCACATATATTGAGACTAAGTGAAATAAAAATGATATTTTTTCAGTTAGTTAACCTCAGATATTATTTTTGTGATCAAATTATTTGAAAACTGTTTCCAACATATGCATGTTCTGATAGCCGACCTGATAAATAGCAGTCGGAAAGAGATTGCTAAAAAGTGTATGGTTAATATATGAAATTATCAATTTTTCTTTAATTAAATCGCATTTAAAATTGTGTTTATGAAATACTTTCAATTATTTGGTAAGTTTTGCTAATATCTACGAGTTCGAAATAACAAGGGTCCATTGTACTTGGTTTCGCATCATCATTATTAAAAATTTGTATTATTAGTCGTTGGCAAAACACTTTCAAATAAAATGTTCTGTGTTGCAATTCTGTGTTTTTTTACAGAGCCTACAGTGACGTGAAGTTGCATCATGTTAGAAGACATCCATTACGTGCTTGTATTCGAGGATCCAGAGTATGATGGCGGTGACATTGAAGGACCAGTCACAGGGAAAATGGAAATTCTGCGGAGGCGGTATATCACCGCAATGCGTAAGGAGACGCTGGCCGTCCAGGAAGAAAGAGTGGGAAAGTACATATTCGTCAAGATTTTTTGCCCCTTGGAGAGACTATATCAAGAAGCAGAGGCGATTAGGATAGAAATGCCTTTATTAGGGGTAAGGTATTAAAACAGTAATTACCCTTCTTTCTTTGATTGCTTGTATGTACACTGCGCAAAAAAAGGGGGCAGTTCTATATCTCCCGTTCTACTCAGCAGATTGTCGAAATTCAAATTGCGTTTTTCATGCCTCGAAAGCGCGACATGGGATATATATTAGATTTATATGTAACATTGTTCTAACCTAGCTATTTTGACGTAAAATGGGACTTTTTCTGAAATAACATACCAATTTATTTTCCATATTTCCATTCTACGACTCAAATTATGCCTAAACATTAAATTTTGTAAAATGTGGTGCGAAATTTACGGAGAAATTCACAAATTAATCTTGGCTTGTTTTTTTAGTTTGCGCCAAGAATAATTCACTTGGCGAACTTCTTAATATATAGTAACCCATTTTCCTTTCGCTTCCATTGTGCAGGACTGGAAAAAAAAGTCACTTCATTACTACCTTTTTACATTGTGCATGAACGGGGAAAAAGTCACATCGTTCTCCTTTCAAAAAATTTTAACAAAGTGCCTAAACTACATTTGATGTTATTATCGCTTTCAACAAATATGCCAAATTTCAAAACGCGCCAATATATAAATTCATGTATATTTGCAGAAATTTTGAATAAAAAGCTCTAATATTTTGCAGGTATGCTTTGAAATACATCTACTTTAAGATGGTGGTAAAAATTTTACAGATTATAATTCAAAATTCTTTTCGAAAATTTTATAAAAATTACTTAAAACTACAAATTTAAAAAATTAAAAAATGGGCGGATTTTGTTTGGAAGGAACCTAAATTTGGAAATGTGAGAGGAAGAATCAAATAAGTTTAATAGAAAAGAAATATTAATAAATATATACCAAACTCAGCTAGCATTGAGGAACTAAAATTTTGAGAGTTAACTTTTTAAAAACTACTCGTGCGATTTTTACAAAACTTGAAATTTTGCGTAATTTGAGTCGTAGGATCGAAATATGGAAAAAAATTGGCTTGCCATTTCAGAAAAAATGCGATTTTTGTGTCAAAATACCTGTATTAGAACAATGCTATGTATAAATTATTATATATATTTTAAGTCGCACTTTCGAGACATGAAAAACGGAAGTTGAATTTCATCATTCGGCACAGTAGAACGGGAGATATAGAACTGTCTTTTTTTTTTCCCTCATTGTACCTTGTATGTAAGGAAAGATTCGAAAGAGTTTGCTTAAAAGAATCACAAAGCGATATAAAGATGGCGTTTGGAAAATGCAACTATTTTTTTTTTTCATTCCTGTTTAAGAGAAGTGTTACAAAAATCCATAATTACAATAAGCTATTCAAAAAACAGAGTTTTGTTAGCCATAAGGGCAAAACTGGGTTTTACAGTATAAAATCATTTACAAAAATAATCTGTAATCTCTTTCCCCCAAAACTAGCAATAAGATAGCACTGATGCAATGCAGTAAATACAATTACATTAAGAATAATGAAGTAAAATTGCTGAATATTTCATAATTTTTAAATGTTTACATTAATGCCAGCAATATAATTACAAAAGACATAAGTAATAACATAAGTAATAACATAAGAAATAATTACTCAGTTACGAAGAAAAGATGAATTTTCGGCATTTGGTAACAAATCTAAATGTTAAGATACAATAACACGCCGAACAAATATTAATTTAGAAGTCTTTTTTTTTCCGCTTTTGCAGCTGAGGATGATGGTTCGGTAAAACCATCGAAACTAGTCCTGTGAAAATTTGAAAATATAACGCTGATTTTGTTGTTTTTAATTATTTTTTTAGTTGGTTTTGGACAACGCAGGAGAAGAAGAAGAAGCCATGATAGAAAAGAAGATGAAAAAACTTTTTGATACCGAAATTGGTAAGAAAATATTTCAAGTATAGAGAATTATAAAATGATTATTTCAATTACAGTTTACTTATAAACTGATAAACATGCTTTTTATGTTTACATTAATGGCAGCAATATAATTACAAAAGACATAAGAAAGTAATAACATGAGAAATAATTACCCAGTTACGAAGAAAAGATGAATTTTAGGCATTTGATAAATCTAAATGCTTTTATCTCTTTATGTGTGTTACAATTAGCGAATTAACAAAGTGGTTGAGTTTTTTGACGATGGAAGTTTCATTTCGAATTCAGTCAATAATGTAACGGATAGCTTTCATGGAAGTTTCATTGTGAAAAATATAAGCCCATTTATTCGAACAAAAGAAGACTGAGTGCTTCGAATAAATTTATTTTCGAATAACCCAAGAAAACTATTTTTGATATATCTAAAGGTAGAAATAAGTGCCACATTTACGCATTCGATAGTAAAGGATTGAAATTAAGTGCCGCATTTATTCCTCTTCGTTAAGTATTCCCTCTGTAGTCTTTTTTCAATGAGTGATTAAAATATTTCTGATTTCTTCATGGCGTAGTATCATGAAAGGTAATCATGCAAGGGATGATTTTCTAATTTTATTATGTTGCCTAATAAGATCTCTTATGTGATAAATCAATTTATCAGAAAGTTAGTCATGCGGCAGGGTTCGTGAAACTTCCTGTAGAACAATATGAATGCTATTAGTAAGATTATAAATTGAAAAGTCAACCTTTTTACGATTCTTCAGTTCATTAATGACTGGAGGATTAAGTTCGTTCCGATTTATATTTATAAGTGCACATCAGTATCGCAGTTGAAAATGGCGCTTCTAGAACGGACCAATGAGCTTCCAGTAGCATTTTCCGTTGTGTCATGGGATCTCTGCCGCATTGAAAACAAGAAGATTCAAAACTTTTTGTTACCCATTTGTCTCTGAAATATAATTAAAACATTGTTGATTTCTTGTGAAAGCTTCCAATGCAAAATTAGATCAAATCGAAGTAATTGTGAAGATTTCACTATCTGGTAGAAATAATGTGAAAAACATATATATGTTGCGAAACAAATACAAAATAGATAGTAAATAATATTTTTCGATGATTTATCATTTTAAGTACGGTAGAAGACTACTGGTCGGTACTTGAAGCCACTCTTTCGGTTACAATATTGATGTGTACTTAAAAATCATGTGACCCGGGATGGTAGAGTGATAAGAAAATTATCTTAAGCGGAAAAGAATTTAGAAAAATAAAAATACTCTTTACCTAAGTTTCATGGTTTTAGAGAAAGAGAAAACACTTTATTTAAAATTTAATATGATTTGTTTTATTGCATTTTTCTGTTTCAGATAACAGATTGTCTGCCCCGTTTCAAAGAGACTGCATAGATCTTTTTACTGACCCAGAGAACCCTGACATTCCAATTTTGTGGTCTTCTCTAAAATGCTTACTGGTAAGAATTTATATTTTATGTTTTATTTAACTCCTCAAGCTTTTAGTTTTTTATACTGAATAAGCACATCATTTAGTTATGGAAAAAAAGGAAAACGAGCTTAATATTTCATAAGATTTTAAATGTAATATAAACTATGCAATCAACTGAATAGTGTTTACAGCAGCTTATCTTATAATTTATATTGCATGTTTGTATGCATGAGCTGTATGGAATTCTACAGGTCATCTGAAGGCTTTAAATCATAACATAATACCTCGAAGAACGATTTTCTCTTTAAAAAAATGTAAAAGGCTGTAAAAATGAAAGAAGCATCTCGTATCATTAACAGGTAGATTAAATTTGGGAGTAAAATATCTTAAGCTTTGAAAAAAAGTAATGGAAGATGAATGTATTTTACATCCGGTAATGGCAACACTTTGCTTTTAAATAGCTGAGTTTGTTGATTAAATTTGAAAGATGAATATTTTACACTTTCCCATATGGTAGCACACTAGTCTGCAAAAGATGAAAATGTTTTATTTCCGGCAGTAACAACCAATGCTTTAAAATCACTGATTTTTTTAAATAAAAAATTAATTAAATTCGTAAAAAATCTAAAATTAAAAAAAATTAATTTAAAATTCGGTCTTCGAGGTGCACATGTTCGGGTGTGTTCAAAATCACATGTGTGACTTTAAGTTACGCCATTTTTGAAAACTGAGAGAAACAAACATACATACTTACATACATACGTACTCACATGCATACATACACACATACATGTGATGTAGTTTTTGCGGAATATGAAACCAATATTCACTTTTTAGTTATGGCCAAGAAAACAATTATGTAGATCTTAGTCGAGCGGAAATCACAACTGCCTTAATGGTTGAAACATAATTTTCATTTTGAATAGGAACAATTATTGAGAAATACATTTTTGTTTAAACTGGTACAACACTAAGGGTGCTGAATGCGGCTTACAATTTCTATTTAGATTATAGAAAAAGAAAGTTAACGAAGAGACGTACTTTCCTTTGTAGAGCAAGCAGCAAAGGAGTGATACGTAATCAGTCATATTTATAAGCTCGGAAAGTCTTTGTTTTAATCTTGAGCAGCGATTGGACAAAGTGTTTTGCAGTGCTGAGAAATCGCAGCAAACGAGTGACGTAACTTACTGTAGAGTGATCGGAATGGTGCGAAAGGTACCCTTGAAGAAGGGATGTGTTTAATATAAAATTATGAATTTAAAGGTATATTGCCAATTGGTTCCAATTAAGTTTAATATCATTTGTTAGTAATTTTGTTTCGCATTATATATTTTACATACATATAGATTCTGCACTATTTAATAATATGCAAATTATATTTTATACCTATTTCAATTTTATATTAAAAAAATTAAAAATAGCTTTACTTTTGTGAAGAGAAGAAGCTTTATTTCACTACTTTTAAAATGACGATTACTTTACCAATTTTATGACTATATAATTACTATACTCTTTTTATGACGATCAGGTTTTGTATAAACAGATGTGTATGCGTTGATTTATTTTTATTCCTGCATGTACGCAGGTATTATGTTTATTGCTTTACAATTAGGCTTCCTTTGTATTTTGTATATTTTAAGCAAATTTCGTCAAACATTGTAGATTTTTCTGCAAATGAATTAATATGCTATTAAGTATTAAACTCAATTTAAATTTTTCCATTATTATCCTATTAGATAAGATATCTGATTCCAAATGTGTAAGACCAGCGGATTCTAGAAGATCTCTTTGGTCTAATTTCCTGCGATTAAACTTACATAGAATTTCTTATCTGAAAAATGAATAAGAAACTGCCTGCACGAAGTTCTCTCTACCTTTTTAAGGCATATAGCATACATATGCTTTGCTGTAATTAATGAACTAATCTTACCTAATCATTTCAAGGATTTGGCTATTGGGTTCTCTAATCCCCAGTTGCTTTTTAAAAGGAGAAATATGTGAGGCATTTTCTCTCTCATTCCGCATGCCTTCGTGGTGTAGTTGGGAGCATACTTGACGCAAATTCGAGAGGTCCAGTGTTCGAGTCCTGGTGAGGGCACTGCGCATTTTTCACTTCCCTTACTTCAAACTTAATGTCTATACACTCAATTTAACTTTGAGAAACATTTCATTGTTTTAAAATGTCTCGAATATTTAAAATTCTATATCCTAGATATCTAAAAGTTTTTTCCTCTAAAAATTGCGAGTGAATGTCAGTTGATAAAGAATAAAAAATAAATATTCAGCAGTTTCTTTCAATAGCAAATTAGAAAAAGTTCTCTTATGACCTAGTACATAATACACACAATATATACTAAAATGCGACAAAAGCGGGTATAGAGTCTAATTACTTTCTAGGTTCCTCTTGAGAAAGTAAATCTAAGGGAACATAATTAGGTACAGACTCAGCATAAGGACATAATCTCTAGTCTAAAAACATCACAGACTAGTGACTTAATTGGCCATAGTAAGACTCCAATGTCAGATGAGTATTCATCTGAAAATATTTTGACTAGACTTGGCTGATGGGATCTTTATTGAAAATGATCAGATCCATAAGAACGAATGCAAAATATGAATAGATGTAATTTGTATTTACTTGCAGGAGATGTTTGTGGACGTATCGTAAGTCCTATTGAATGCTGTCTAAGCAAACTGCATGGCTTTACGGAGACGCCACAAATTTAGAAATTTCTTCGTTGAGAGATGGACTATGATTTCATGAGGATTTCTTCATACATAGATCCTTTTATCTGCTTAAAGCAATAAGAAAAGCAACTCGTCAGATTAAGCTACTCTTTTTCTAATTGCCAAGGTCTACTGTTCAAATTGGCGAGTCAAAGAACTTGAATAGTTCTGGTTTGGTTTGATTTATTGAAATTATGGCAAAGCACACTAGGGTCACTAGGGTTATCTGTATAAGGGGGTATGCCTTCGTGGAGGACTTTCTAAGGGGTACTGGCTCGTATACACGTTACACATAGGGAAAATCGCAAAACGTCCCATGCAACGAACCCGTTCGCCTGGAATCGAACCCAGATCGGAACTACCAGTGTTCTGCGACTTTTACTGCTCGACTGCTGATGGGCTCTGAATAGTTCTGTGTTGAGGATCAGCAATACATGGTTGAATGCAGAATTAAAATTTCAGAATTTTCAGAAATTTATAGTTGAAAGCGTAGTTTAAATAATTATTTTTATTACTATCTTTGTGAAAAAAATTTTAATTAATCTTGGCCAATTTTGATTACCCGGAGATTGATTTTATTTGTGTCCTTAAATGGCTATGGAATATACTTTTTATATGGCTTTTACTTTTTGCGGGACTTGCATAAAGGCTATATATACTAGATTTAAGGCTATACTACTGTAATTTAAGGCTATACTACTGTAATTTAAGGCTATACTACTATAATGTAAGGCTATATATACTTTTAGATCGCTTTCAAAGGTATTGGAGTTAGACCTTATTTCTCAAAAATGTATAGAAACTTTATAAACAACCTATATATAAAAACACCTATAATAGGAAAAGGAATACAATTAAAATTGCGTTGGGATATTTTTGTGTAAAAAACTTCTGTGATACTATATAGATATAAATATGTATGTTATTGTGGGCTACAGATTCGTTGTCATTTCTTTAAATATTCATCCTAGATAAGCAGGAAGAAATTGACAGTTTCTTATAAAAATTCATGACACTCTCCACAAATATGAGTTAGCAATTGCTGAAGGAATAAGCGGATATTAGGAAATTCCTTCTTAGTGCACGAGAAATAATGTGAATTCTCAAAAGAACTTAAAATTTTTCGCAATTTCTTTTAGTTTAATTTAAATAAGTTATTTAATGAAAAATTAAATGCATTAGAATGATTTAAACAGAAAGTCAGCCTGAAATATAAATATATTTAGTGCCTAATACGTTTGAATTACAAAGCATAATCAAAAATTAAATACTAAATTTGAATATTTTTCCTTTGCGTTATTATTATTATTATTATCGTTTATGCATGCTTTAATAAACATTCAGTAAACAAAATTTTAAATTCAGTTAATCCTTTCTTTTAGCCAAAATCGGCGTTAACTCCGAAGGACTATTAATCTCGAAATGGAATTTTGCGTCGAATCGCTATAAACGGCTGTATCAGTTTCCAAATTGTTGCCACTAATATTATCGTCTTGTATTATATTTCAAGAAATTAAATAATGAAGAATCTGCATGAATGTATGCATGTTTCTGGCATTATAAATTCTGAATAACGTAGTCCTCCACATGGGCATCTGGATGCCCGAATCTTGAATTTATAATTTGCTTTATTATCTATTTCATACTTTTTAAACTTTAACAATTTTTTTTTATTAAGAAACTCAACGATTTGAAAGCGAACAGTGGCAACACACTGCGCGGAATAAAATATGTTTATCTCTAGTGTGCGAGACTATCTATTAGAAATTCTAAACATATGCTGTATTTAAATATTTTTAGCCCAAATTCCCTTCGAAACGTGTATATATGTATGTATAATCGAAAAAAGCGTCTCTTTGGGCGTAATCTAAAATCTGAAATCTTTCATATTTTTCTTTTTTGTTGTTTTTTAAATTTCAAGCGGTGCTTTAGTCTCGAAATGAGATTTTGCATTGGTTCACTACAAATGGCGTATTACGTTTTTTAATTGTTGCCACCAAATATTATCGGCCTGATTATTTTTAAGAAAATTAAATTATGAATAGTTATGAAGAATCTGCATGTATGTATGTATGTATGTATGTATGTTTAAAGCTTATGAAAATACGACGGTACCTAGAACCATCAAATTTTGAATAACGTAGTCCTCCAACCGAACATGTGCACTGGAAGCCCGAATTTTGAATTTCGAATTTGTTTTACTATTATTCTTATTTGATAAAATATTTTTATTTTGCTAAAAAAGATAAAAAAATTCTGACCCGTCAGCTGTTTCCAGATCGTGTATTCGGCCCCCATGCA